GGGGGGGGGGGGGGGTGACAAACCCAGTTACACAAGAGCGGCAAAAATCAAAACTTGGGCTAAGTCAATATTTATTAAAGAAATGTTATATAACAAATTAAAGTTATAGAAATAGTATCTTCTCCAAATTGTTTTATGTAGCATTTAAAAAATCCTAACAAAGGGGTTCTCAAAACTTTTGGGTCTGGGGACCCCCTTGAAATGGCAATAATAATAATAATAATAATTCCAGGGACCCCTCACAAACTCCATGCTGTTTTAAAAGATAATTAATTGTCGTTTCAACCCCTAAATGCCATGGGAATATATATTTTTATTTAGTTTATGATGTTTGTTTTATTAGTTCATTGTTCTTCGTCTACTTTTAAAAATAAAAATCAAATTAACAATTTTGTGAAAAATTTTAAGGACCCCTGAGATACCTCTCATTGACCCCTGGAGGGGGAACCCCAGTTTGAGAACCTCTGTCCTAACAGATTAAGAAAAACACTAATTTCTTGTGCCTTACTCTATCAAACAACTTTGTTCTTATTATAATACAATACAGATATGTTTATTATAATTCAACAAATCAGTAAAAAAAAAAAACTCACTAAAAATCTAATTGTTTGACTTTAAAATAAGAAGAGATACAGAAAAAGACAAAGTAGATTCTCTGTGGCTCTGTCCACAACAAAATCAAATATTACTCAAAAATTTGCACTTAATTGTCATAGGATGAAATCTTGCTTTATTTAGATGACATAATAGTGTTTGTTAAACAGTATACAATATATGAGGCCTCAACTGCCTCAGAGAAGCAGGGGGACAGTCTGATGGCTCAGTGTTGTTCTCTGTGTTCCTGTTGTTGCAATAAAACTCAGCTGATCTTTCCACAGAGTGCCTTCATTCTTGGACCACGTATTTCTGTCTTTCTTATAACAGCTTGAAAGTTGGCCAGCTGCCATAAGAATGCAGTAAATTCAGCGACAAAAAGAGAAACCATAAAACTATTTCAACTTGAAAGTGTGTTGCCTTTGGGGCCGGATGAAAGGTCAACAGGGGCCAGATTTGGCCCACAGGCCTTGAGTTTGACACATGGTTTCAAAGGTGTAATGCGTTCTACTATGTGAGCCATCATATCGAAATGAGGATTAATTTGGTCAAAATGACCTAATTACATTTTCAGATTCTTGGCTTTAAAAGCTACATTTTGACACCTGGATCATTCTGATATCATAAAATCCATATAGATGACTTAGTTTGTCTTGTTGGTTACAATAATACATAAATATTTGGTCTGAATCCTAATTTTATGTCATTTTAATGAGGAATTGTTGATGTCATTATGAAGAGGAAACCTCAAACAATATGTGATTATTGAGATTTCCCAGCTAAAAAGAAATAAAACTTTGCTAGCTCACAGGGAAAATCCCAAAACTTTAAGGTGTTTTTCCACAAAATCAGTTTTTTTGTTGCTAATGCTCAAAAAAGTGCTTCAAAATTTAGTTTTATGATTATATTTCAGACAGTTCATTTAACAGATACATTGATAAGGCTTTTATTCATTATACTTTGACAAAACGCAATTTTTGTTCACATTTTAGTCAAAACACTATATTTGCCTATTTCTCCATACACCACTTTTGGACTTAATCCTCGTTTCGATGTGATGGCTCACATATAATCACAAGCAATGCTCACTAAAATCATCCACCATGGATTCAGATATTTCAGCATGTTATACTTATTTAGCTTTTTCAGATGTTTTTCCTAACTGAAAACGGTTATCGTTTTCAGCATCCTTAAAACCACGGCTGCCCAAACATTTTCTCCGAGAGGGCCAAAATGAAAATCTATCCATGGCTGCGGGCCAAATGCAGTAATATAATACAAGAAACACAAATACTTTTTAAAAGTAAAGTCCTTTATTTTTAACCATTAAGCTGTGCAATGGGCCTCTTTTGTTTTAGTCTGTGCACTTGGAGAAAGTCTGCTCAAGTAGCAAAGGCTCATGGGACATAAATTGATAAAATGAGTTTTTGTGGTATTATAAAGTGAGCAAATCTATGTGGGGTTAAATCTGATCTAAATATTTCTTATTTCATGTTTAATCCTAATAAAAGATATGTCATTACATGACTGAAAACTACCTTCACTACAGCCCTTTTATATAGTCATTTGACCAATGGAAATACTGCTTCTACATACAACCTTGTAACTTTGGCAACTGTTGCTGAGCCAAATTTGGCCCGCGGGCCCCACTTTGGGCTCCTCAGCTTAAAATTCTTCAAAATAGTCCCTTTACTGCACTTTTGCTTTAATACTTTGTGCTAATTTTTGCTTTTATTTTGCCAATTTCGTTTTTCCCCCCCCCCAACATTTTGAATTTTTCTGCAAACTTCAACTGTTTCTCAGCTAATTTGAGCTCTTTTCCAGCTAAACTCCCTGTTGGGATCATTTCAGYCTCTTTCCTGCTCTGTTCAGCAAACGTGCTCCAGGTTTTTTTTTTAGCATCACTGCATTTTTGCCAGAAACGTAGATATATTAGTTGGGCTATGCTCTTACATCTAGCTTTTTAGCAGAATTAAGATAAATTATTTGTTAGCTCAACATTCTCCACCACCTTCCTTTATAATTAAAAGCACAAAGACTCGTATTTGTTTCATCTTTTTATTTGCATTTTGATTTTAACTGGATGGTAGTGTTTTGTTTTTATCTCAGCAGCCATCCAGTGCATTAYAAGTCTACAAGTTTTACACTTAAACAGGACGGCAGAGCTGAGCAAATACAAGGTTTACATGATTGCACATGTGGTAATGTAACAGATTCAATGCTTCCCTTTCACCACTTTAGTGGCATTTTAGATCTAAAAAACACACGATGGCTGTGTGAACCTGGAGAACAGACTGGTATGGCAGGTAAAGCCTCAACTGGTTCACAAGCAAGTGAAAACAAAGGGTACGAGCTACTGAGCTGCCATTAGATAAGACACCACGTTCAGCGCCACCGCCTCGATGGAGAACAGGTGGTGGTCTTCCACGTCTGGGCAGCTGCTCCTCATGAACTCCGCCAGCCGGAGCAGGTACTCCAGGTTGTGGCCGGTCTTCCCCCGGCACACAGCGATCTGGGCGCCGATCTCCTCGGGGCTGGCCGGTCCCAGGTACAGGGCGTTGTCAGAGGTGGCGATGTACACCAGCGCCGGCACGGGCGACCCGCCTTCCCCGTCCGGAAAGAAATCCACCGTCTTGGTGACGTAGCCGCCGCGAACCGTCTCGCGCACGTTGAGGTATCTGAGGGACTCCTCCACCTGGGAGCCCGACACCTCGAACGCCACGCCCCAAGTGCTAGCCTAAAAAAGGAGGAGAGAGTAAACAGGTTATTTATGGAAGAAAAATGTTACAGGCAACTCCCAGCAGTTTGTGTGTTAGCCAATAAAAGGAGCGGAGTTTCCACTTACGTCATCGTCTTCAATCAGCGTCACCACTCTTCCGGGCTGAAGAGGAAAAAAAAAGAAGTCACGTCATGTCAATTACAAAAACTAAACTTTTAAATATTCCAACACTTTACAGATGTAATTATATTCTTACCAACTCATCACTTCCGCGGTGGAAGTTGTCTCCGTGCCAGAAACGTCTCTTATAGCCTTTGATGAAACCGACCTGGCTCCTCTTGTACTTGAAGTCCGGCTTCCACACCAGAGACCCGTACCCGAAGATCCACAGGCTGCTCTTCCCGGAGATGAGGTCTTGAGGCTTCATTTTTTATATATCGGAGTTTGACGTTCAAGATGAAATTGATGGAACCAGAATTTAGTCTCGGTCGTCCTTCTGCTAGCCGAGGTGCTTAGCTAGTTAGCTTCCTCCGATCCAGGAGGAGCGGTACCGGCTGGCTCGCTGGTATACCGCGGACGGTACCCGAGCCCAACTGCTTAGCAGTTGCGAGGATGGAGTCTCGCAGTGGGGTTTGCCTATGCATTGCCATTGCATTAGTGGTGCCGCATTATGCTTTAAAAAACCATCATGGCAGCCGCTTCGGCCTGCTGCGAGTCGACGGGGGGAAAAAAAAAAAAAAGGAAAAACCGTTTAAGCTAGCTGCTTTGCCGGCCGAGGTGGTATCGAGTTAGTATTAATGACTAAGATCGAGGTTTCTAAGATGTTACCGTTTAAGACACGTCGTGGTTTCTTGTTGCAGGTTAAAACGACCTACACTGCTGCGACGTGTTTCCTCGATAACATGGCGAACAGTCGCCCGGGCATTTATAGAGTACAGAGCGGGAAGGCGGGACTCTGTTCGCAAATTTGACTAATCACGTGAAAGCTGGCTTGCCCGCAGTTGCGGTTTACCCAATCAAAAGTTGGTGCGCCGAAAAAGGCGGGATTTAAAAATCAAACTCACTGTGCGATTGGTCCAATGGTGATTGTTGACGTGRGTCTACTTTTGAACATGATTGGTCGAGTCATGGCCTAATTTTTTTGATTGGTCGGTCTTGTTGTCAATCTCCCAACACSACCTGGCTGATGCAATTTACCCCAGCATTTCAGGCCCCTGAAGCAGCTCAGCAACATCCCAAGGCCTTTCGTCATCCCTGATTTAGAACAGAATGTTACAGGTCAGGAGGAGCACTGAACGCTATGTAACTTTTGACTGTAGACATATTATACATATACTAAATACATATACTAAATACATGTACTAAATGGGATATATTAACTGTCTTTGCTTTGACTGAATTGTAATCTTATAAAATTGTAACATACTTAATGGGAATTTAACTGCTATCTGTAAATTTAATGTAGGTGATCTGTTACAAAT